GGTTAATGTGACCAAAGGGGACATTATTTGGTGCTACCGCTAGCCACCCCCTACCCCTCCTTAAGTGTGAAACGGGGGGTAACTTTGGAAAGTTAAAAGGGATGACCCGATTTTTTTCACAGATTTTGGTAGTACATAAAAAAATGAATAACTTTTATTTAAAAGTTTTTTTCAATTTATCAAAAGATGGCGCTGTAATTCAAAATTTAAGAAAAGGGGTTTCCTTGTAAAATGTATTATTTGAAACGTTTGAAAAACAAAAATTAACATTAAATCAATAATAGTCGGCTCTGAAAACAATTTATAACAAATGTTCGAAATGTCTTCGACACCAAGTGGAGCACCAGCGTCCCTGGTCGGTAAACGTTTGGTGCGGTACCTTAAGCGAACGATTAATCGGACCCTTCTTTATTGACGGTGCATTAAATGGCGAAAAGTACCGGAATTTTCTAGAAAACGATCTGACGGACCTTTTGGAGGATGTACCACTAGCACGGCTCCAAAACATGTGGTACCAGCAAGATGGTTGCCCTGCACATTATTCGGCAATTGCTCAAGAGGTGTTGGATCGGGAGTTCAATGGCCGGTGCACCGCGGTGGATCGGTAGACGTGGTCCAGTAATTTGGCCTGCTCGATCACCTGATCTTACGCCACCAGACTTCTTCCAGTGGGGTTACTTGAAAGAAAAAGTTTACGCTGCAATTCCTACAACTTGGGAGGACATGGTGGAGCGAATCAGGAACGCCTGTGCGGCGATACCGCCCGACATGTTGGCGCGTTGTGTGCCAGAATTCATTACCCGCATTCAAAAATGTGTTGAAATGGAATGACGACATTTCGAACATTTGTTATAAATTGTTTTAATCGAGGTTTTCATAGCCGACCATTGTTGTTAATGTTAATTTTTGTTTTTCAAACGTTTCAAATAATACATTTTACAAGGAAACTCATTTTTCTTAAATTTTGAATTACAGCGCCATCTGTTGATAAATTGAAAAAAGTTTTAAATAAAAGTTATTTATTTTTGTATGTACTACCAAACTCTGTGAAAAAAATCGGGTCATTCCATTTGACTTTCCAAAGTTACCCCCCGTTTCACCCTTAAGGAGGGGTAGGGGGTGGCTAGCGGTAGCACCAAATAATGTCTCCTTTAGTCACATTAACCTTTTATTTAAGACATTTTTCCGTGAAATGCGTATTTCTCGAGATATTGAGCTGTCTCAAGTTAAAAGAAACACCCTGTAGTTATAACTATAATAACTTTTATCAATTTATACCTATAGGTATAAATTGATAAAAGTTATTAAGGGTGTGAAAAATATAAAGATTAAATCATAACAAGCATTTTCCCATCATAATTGATTGTTTTTCTTAGGATTTCACAATAATTTAAATTATAAACCTGTGCATTTTTATTTACTTTAAGATTTTTATTTGCTTTAGGATTTTGTGATTTTACTTTTGTGATTATTTAGTTTAGTATTTTTAAAATCACTTGATTAATTGATCATCTGCTTTTTTATTTACATTAAGATTTCTTTATTTTACGTTTGTGATATTCATTTACTTTTTTTAAAGTGATTTTGATTAAAATTTGCATTTTTATTTACTACTTTTTCCCTTTACTTGAATATATAAATATATTAGGGTGGCCCAAAAAAAAAAGAATATTTTTTTTTACTCCTCTCTTATAAAAATATGTTAGTTTATCATGCTGTCAAAATATCAGCTCGATTAAAAAAAATTTAGGGGTCGCTCAAGATTTTTTTAAATTTTCAAAATCGTCAAAAATTGAATTTTTGTTTTATTTTAATTTTTTTTCTCGTCTCGATATTATTTTTTTGGTTGAAAATAATAAAAATTCTGTAAATTTCAAATAAATATTTAAATAAATATTTAAATATTTAAATATTTTGATTTCTAAAGGTCGCTAAAAGTTCGTTGATATTTATATTCAGAGGTCGCTCAAAAACATTCAAAATACTCTACTTTGAAAGTTAAAAAAATCTTGAGCGACCTTTAGAAATCAAAATATCGATTTGAAATTTTCAGAATCATTATTATTTTAAAATTAAAAAATAATATCGGAACGAGAAAAAATTAAAATAAAAAAAAATCCAATTTTTGACGATTTTGGAAATTTTTAAAAATCTTGAGCGACCCCTAAAAATTTTTTAATGGAGCTGATCTTTTGACAGGGCTCTTAAAACATTACAAACCAACATATTTTCACAAGAGACGAGAGAAAAAAAATATTCTTTTTTTGGGCCACCCTAAAATATATATATATATATATATATATGAAGCATTCCATGTCAACTCGGCCACCCCCTCCTGTGCAAAATTGACTAAAGTTTTTCGAAACGTGCAATTGAAGGGGTTAGAATAGAAAGGGTATAAGTGCAATTTCTTTAATTTAGGAGATAAGTTCGTTTTGTAAAAGATAAGGTTCCGACGTATCGAAATGAAAAGGATTTAAGTAATTTTCATACTTCTAGGGACCTCTATTATCCAGTAGAAAAACATTACTAAACAAAATTCTTCACTTTTTTATGGTAACATAACTTTAACTTCAAATATCTCCAAAAAATGAAAATGTTACTTATACCCTTTTTATTCTAACCCCTTCAATTGATGAATTTTTAGCTTTTCGTCTTAACTTTTAAATTCCGAGTGGTATTTTGTAAAATTTCAAAATGGCGGTGTCAATATAGCGACTGCAAGCAATAGACATCACTTTAAAAAATCCGTAATAATAATAATATTAATAAATAATAATAAATCTTTATTTGCCCAACAGAAATTCCAATTACAGGACAAAAAAAAACATAATAATGAGATACATTGTTCATTAAATAAATCAATTATAATATTGATTTATTTAATGAACAATGTATCTCATACGTACTTTACATTAACTAACAACTTTATAAAATTAAAAATTGAATTTTATTTAATGCACTGATCTATTATCAGTGATTCTATGTATTTTTTACCGCTGATTACACAATGGTTCGCCCCTAACCTCATAAAAAACTTAAAAAGCAGTTTTTATGATAAACATTCTGAGAGCTTATAAAAACTGGTATGTTTGTATTACCAAAAATACCATAGCAACAAAGCGTTGTCAACATAACGACGGCGACGCAACACCTACTTAATATTTTGTCATAATTTTATAGCCTCATACCGGGTTAGTAAAAGAAACAGGCACGCTTAAAATGTCTTAGAACCGTTAAAAGGTAATAGAAAAAACTATATACATACCTCAGGAGGAAAATGCGTTTCCTCCCTTGAATATTTAATGCCCTTCGCTTCGCGTCGGGCATCAAACTATTCGAGGGAAGAAAAGCACTATTTTCCTCCCATGGTATGTAAATAGCTATTTCTCACAAAGCTAAAAGTGTTTCTGTAATTTTCAAATCTGTAATTGGAATAGTTGTATGGAAAACGCATAGAACTTACTTTTTTTCCAGGATAATTGTGGTGTTTAGTTGATATTGTCTACAAGTCATTTGTTTATAGAAAACTTAAAATCTTTGTTAAAAACGCGATTTTGTGAAAAAAGCGTTAACAAGCTATTTTATGGAATATGGATACCCTCTCAGCGTAAAATTTCCTATAAGAATCCATAAAGTCAATGTTGCAAAATGCAAAAAAAATATTGTTTGTAAAATTTACAAACTTTTACGTATAATAGATATCGAGAAGAAAGTGAATTTCCGACGCTGGTTAGGTTTGAATCTGGTGAATTGGTATAAATTGGAAAACCTAATTGTCTTGAATTGGTTTGATTGGGTATTACCCATTTAGCCCTAAAACCATTTGGCGACATATAGAACCCAATAAAAACCAGTACCAATGCACATTTTCAGTCCGGTACAAACCATTTCATTCTCTTATTTGTTTCTATGGGTCATTTTCGGCAGGGTAATCATATAATATTATGATTATAATGTTTCCTTTTATTTTAATTCAGTTAGAATATTCTACCGGGTCGCAAAAACATATTACCAAACAAGTTTAAAACTTGATAATTAAAAATTAAACTCAGTTGAGTATTTCGAAAGAAAAATACGAAAACTTTACCAAGATTTCCTTAAAATTAAAAAAAAAATGGGCAAAACTTATCAAGAAATGGAGTTCTATCAAAGAAAAGATTAATTTAACCTTTGAATAAAAAACTTTTTTTATTCAAAGAATTAAAGAATTCGCACACATCACACAGCAAAGTTACTAGGTATCCAGAATGTAGTGCGGGCCACCCTGAATTGACTGTAGATATAAGATCACACTATATATAAAATCGAAACAGTGTGCGACGTTGCTAAATATCGGTCAAACGTCACGAAAAGCAGTTTTTCTCGATTATCTCGTAAACTATTGTTTTTACATTTTTGGTAAAACATTGTTGTTTGGGTTAATCTGCATGATCTTATACAAAATTTACGCAGGACTAGAATATCTTAAGATAAGAGGAAGATTTTTCGACTGAGCTATTACTGTAAAGTCCTATATCTTGCTGGAAATCATGACCATGATCTGACACGGTGTGCTTAGCACTGATTCAACCCATGAACTTCTGCACATCTGAGATTTTTTCAAATTCTGTATCTGCATGACCCATAATTATTTTAACAAAAAAAATTAAAATCTTCGGCGGAGCCGTTTTTGAGAAATTTACTTTTGATTTTTATTTATCAACTAAAAGTCTTCATATGTAAAAAAACAAAAGAGAGCAACACGAATGTTACAAAATGTAGTTGTAATCGCTCGAGCCGTACCGGCAAATATTGCTCAAGCAACACATGATTTTATACCAGAACACAAAAAAGAAATGGCTGTTTCTTCGTCGGTGGAAAAACGGTGTAGTGTCTATAGTTTAAATTATTCAAGGAATTCGTAGTTACAATATTTCCTGTGACCGTGGCGTACAGTCCATGGGACGCCCTTTATACACACCTTACATTTTGATCAAACGAAAACAAATTAATTATAATACTATTTATTAATAGAAAACAACACATTGTTAATACTTGCAATAAATCTAATAACAAAATACTGATAGACAAGTACAACACATTGCAATAAATGTAATAACAAAATACTGATGAACAAATGCTTATTAATAAATGTATTAAAGTTTGCTAGAATGCTGTAACATGGGTCTGTCAGATTTATCAAGTCTAGAATTCCTAGAACAAAGCAATGTTTAAGTACCTATACAAAAAGGGAATATTTGGTTAATAATTAAATTAAAAAACAGTTTACAAACAAAATTATATTATAATTATACATTATATTGTTGGAGGTCAAATATATATTAAAAATATAATATAATTACTTGCATAGGAATGTTGGGTTTTCTGGGACATTTAAGGGGGAGGTTCTACGTGAAGGTTATATTTTTGGGAATATATCTGAAAATTAAAGTATGTTATCTACTACATAAAATACAATATTAAATATAAAAAATAATGCATCGGAAAATGAGTGGGAAACCTGTTGCATGGTATATTATTTTTAATATGTATAAATAAATATACTTCAAATCACTATTTCATATCATATTCATAAATCCGGAACTGGAGATGTAATTTACGAAATAAGCCTGTGCTCCGTTCTAAGAATCAAGGTGTTAAAGTAAAATAATATAAAAATATGTAACAAACTGAATTTTATATTTTATTTTTTGATAGTAGGTAGTATATACTACTATCAAAAAATAAAATTCAGTTTGTTATATATTTTTATATATGTAAATATGTAGGGAATTAAATTACTAAAACAAGTTTGCTATCCACTATCATATCATATCATATATCAAAAAATAAAATTTAGTTTATTACATATTTTTATATATGTAAATATGTAGGGAATTAAATTACTAAAACAAGTTTGCTATCCACTATCATTGCAATTATGCCTTAAACCAGAATAAATAAAATTTGACAAAACTTTTGTTGTTCAAATATTATATTTTTTATTAAACTGATATTTGATGTTTATCATAGTCCTACAATAATTGTTTAGTTTAATTATTTTTATTTAAATTATTTAACAGAAGTGTATAAGGCGCTGTTAAAAGTGCATTATTTACCAAATTATTTTTTTATCAAATTATAAAAAAAATAATTTGTTAAAAAATTATTTAATAAAGAAATAATTTGATACAAAAATAATTTAAAAAGAAAATATTTTGATAAAAATAAAAAAATAATGCATATAATTAATTATTCACGGTGTGCCTGAACGAAGTTTAAGTCACATAAAAATGCCGCTAAAAACTGATTGCAGTTTCTTGTTCGGGACCCTTTGGTGACTTAAAAATGATATTTACCAAAATCATAGCTGCTCCTCTTTTCAAAATTTTTTGAAAATTCATGATTTTTTTTTTAAATTTTTGGTTTATCTTTAAGTCTACCTTTGACAGAGATTTTTACACCGATTTTTATAATATTGGAGTATATTGTTAAGGAGATTTGGAAAATACTTTTTTATACTGTGCACATTATTTAATATAGACAGGGTTAGCCAAAAATCGCTTTTTTTAATAAAGCAAAAGCGTAACTTCATGATTTTGGCATAACACGCAAAAAAGATATATACCCACCCATGTTTTTTATATTTTTTTATGTTTATCAGGCTACAAAATGGGATTCTTATTAGGACTTTATAAGAAAAATTGATTTTGAATAAAATTACATAAAATAACATTTTTTGGAGATAAATCTTTTTTGTGCATTATGCTTTTTACTATAACAAAAAGTGATTTTTGGCTAACCCGGTATAAATCTAATGATGTGCTCAGTATAAAAACAGTATTCTCGTCTCGTTAACAATATACTCCAATATTATAAAAATCGATGTACAAATGTGTACTCTGTCAAAGGTAAGATAAACAAAAATTAAAAAAAAAATATGAATTTTCAAAAAATTTCGAAAAGAGCAGCTAGGATTTTGGTAAATATCATTTTAAAGTTACCAAAGGGTCCCGAACAAGAAACTGCAATCAATAAAAATCGGTATACAAATGTGTACTCTGGCAAAGGTAGACTTTGCGATAAACAAATAATTATTATTTAAATTAAAATGACTTTTTAACAAATTTAAAAAAAGCAGTTAGAATTTTGATAAATATCGTTTTTAAATCTCCAAAGAGTGCCGATCAAAAAACTTTAACCAGTTTTTCGTTCAAAATTGAAAACTACTAAAAAGCTTAAATTAAACAACATTTTAAATTTTCTCTAAGCGTTATTTTATTTAATTTTATTAAAAATTTATTTTTTGGCATTTTTTAACCTGATAAATGTAGAAATATCTAAAAAAAAGAATGGGGATAAATCTTTTTTGCGTGTTATGCCAAAATCATGAATTTACGCTTTTGCTTTATTAAAAATAAGCGATTTTTGGCTCACCCTGAATATATCAAATGATTTGAACAGTATTAAAAAGTATTCTTTAAGTCTCCTCAATAATATACTCTAATTTTATAAAAATCGGTGTACAAATGGGTACTATGTCAAAGGTAGACTTTGAAATAAACAAAAATTAAAAAAAAAAATCATGAATTTTCAAAAAATTTTGAAAAGAGGAGCAGCTAGGATTTTGGTAAATATCATTTTTAAGTCACCAAACAAGAAACTGCAATCAGTTTTTGGCGGCATTTTTATGTGACTTAAACTTCGTTCAGGCACACCGTGATTTATTAAGCAAAATAATTATTTTGCACTTTTAATTTTGACAAAGAAATGCTACATTTTTCTTAATTAACCATGTCTCATGAGGCTATGATGCATCATAGTAATTACTCATATGGAAACATCAATTTTATAAAACCTTTTAAGAATTATAAGAATTTTAATGCAATTGGAGTTTTATATGAAATTATTATTATTATTATTTAAAAACGCATTCAAATGTCTTTAAATTTACAAAACAAATTTAACCAATTATGGAATTAATGACACGATTTGTTCAAATTTCTTGAGGAAAGAGTTATAAAATAATTATAACTGATGTTAATTATGGGCGTTTCTATGAAAATATTCATAATTATTATTCTATTATGTATATTATATTTAAGACTTGTATAGCCCCTTAATTGCTTAAGAAAGTTTACATTTATATTGGATTAATAATTTTTTTAATCGGTGGATATTTGAATTGCTTTAACTTTTAATAAATGGTTATTGGTTTTAAGTCTGGTGATCTTAGTTATCCCAATAGACTGGATTATAATGCAATACACTAAACATATTAACAATATAAATTTCATATTTCAGGATTTATATTAAATCAAGGTCAACCAAAAACAGATATGAGTGTTTTCTTTAAACCATCTTATTTAATATTTTAGGGATTAATAAAACTAGTTCTTTTTGTAGTTTTGGCAAAATTTTAATGCGATATCTAAAATAATGTTAGTTATTTTCATATAAATACCAAAGAAATTATGTCCCAGATAACATTCATGATATTTTTGTAATACAATACACAATTAAACATATTAAACATACATATATATTTATATATAAAAATATTGCCTATTTAGTGAACACTGCATACTATGCATAATATTATAATGCAGTGTTTACTAAATACAAAATATTTTTATTAATATTTTATCAAACCTTTTTACTGAATCATCAAATTAACAGCATTATTTATTGCCTAAAACTAAAACGATTGATTTAAATACAGGGTCCAATAATATTATAAAAGTTTGGAAAAAATTCCTTAGTATTAAAAAATAATTTTTTTTTCGTGAAGTTATGCTCTCTGGGTTTTCGTTTTTATGTTATTTTTATTAGTTTTTGTTTAAAAACTTTTGAACACCAAAGATAAGAAAACGAACTCTTTCATTATTTTTGTATCATTTTACGTTTTAATAAAACCTTTTGTAAATACCAGCCATAGCCACTGGTAAATAAACATAATTAAGAATTCCATGATCCAAAAAATGAATAAGCATTGAAAAAGCATAACCCAATAATATAATAGGGTAATTTTAGTAGAAAGTTGCGCGGCCATTAACAAATCATAGTTTGTGATTGAAGGGTGCAAAAAACATAAATAGATATTTTGCAAAACCGTAACACATAAAACAACTCGACTTTAAATTTTAAAACACATGAAACAGTTCTTAGGTATTTCAGTTAATTTAATATTTCAGAATAATATAATAATATCAGCCTCTCACCCAAATGTCACAAATTCGATTTCCAATCAAGGAAAGTTTTTTTAAATTATTTAATTTATTGTTTTATTATATAATACTATTATATCTATTAACTCCATTATTTAAATACCGTTTATATTTATACAAATTGTAAGCTTGTAAAAAACAAGAAAAATACAAAAAAAATTGTACTTTTTGTTAACTATGTAGCAAAAGTAAAACACAAATAATTAATTGGAGGGATTAAAATAAAAGAGGTATAATTGCAGCTTCCCTGTTAAGTAAAAATTCATTATCTACAATATTAAATAATAAAGGACAAAAGATTATTTTAATTGTTAAACACAATAACAATAATATTTTGTCCTTTATTACTCAATATTGTAGATAACAGGGCAGCTGCACTTATACCCATTTTATTATACGAGCTTTAATTAAAAACTACAACAAAATATATCAGGCATAGGGTAAATATTCGTGAAGACCTGTTTAAACTTAGTTCCCAAGAAATGCAGAATGCTTCGATTTCATTAATTAATAATTAAGTCCAAAACACAATAAAATCAAAGTCCAATGGGACTATCGCAAAGGGGCGGGTAGCACAAAAAAATATTATTATTATAGTTATTATTATTATTTTTATTACTCTACTGAGGATTGAACTTGAGTGCTTGTCCGTGATGACATTTGTAAACATTTCTATAAATATCATTAATGATATTTTTAAATTTTAAAAAGTTAAATATGTTTTGTGTTGCTGTTTTGAGCTAAAATTTTTGCACCTTTATGTTTATTTTATAAGTCAATTAACACTAATAATGGTTTGTTATTGGCCGTAAAAATTAAAATCAACGCCAAAATTACCCATTGACCTTTTGTTTCCTTAAAATTGAAAATTTGTAACATTGTGTTAATTGTAAACGAAAACTTGTATAGTATATCTTCATATAAAAAAACTATTATTTTTTTCAAACTTTCATGGATGTTTTCTTCTATAGCTTCTTAATTTGTTTGGTCATTGTTTTATTTGATTATAATATCATTAATTATCATTATCATTATTATATTTATAATCAAAAATAGTACAAACAATGCAACTAAATGTTACACCTAATAATATATAAATATTATTTAACCCCAGCAAAAAAATTAAGTTAAGTAACAAATCTATACATTATAAAATACCTATGCTGACTTCTGTTCTGATTCATAATAAAAACAGTGATAGCCTATTGGCAATGTAAAAGTCTGCAAATATTAGAAACAATAAAAACTACTAAAACAATAAAAACTATTAAAAATAATAATTATAACAAACATTTCAACAACTACTTACAAACTTATAAATGCTAAAACAATATTTTTGTCTTTTGTCATAATCGAAAATAAAAGTAAATTACAATGACTACAATGACTAAAAACAAAAAATGCAGTTATAACTGAAAAGGCATTCAACACAAAATTATTTTGTAAAATACCCTTGAACATTTTAGGTTGAGTCAAAACTATATTTTATTAACGATGTGCAATTTAAAAAAACTGTACAGTATATAAGTGATGCACAACTATGTATTTGCAGAATAAGTGATTTAAAAACAAACATGAAAAACCGCTCATAAGACAATTTTTGAAAAAAAAATGCAAAAATTGAATACACGTGCTTTTGCATCTTTTTTATTGAAAAAAGTAAAAAAAATCCTTTAAAATTAGGTAGTTTAGTAAATAATTGAAATCTAAAGATTTAAAAACATAGTTTTTCATATTCATCGTTCAAATAGTTTTGCAAGTGAAAAGTGCAAATACCAAAAAATAACAATTAATCAGGTGATTGTTAAGTCGTCACGTAATGCGTATACTAGCGACGTGATTGGTCAACAGCAAATACCGAGTTTTGCATCCGACGGGAAGAAACAAACCCAGTTTTGCATCTGCGTTAAGTTTTTAACTACTTTTTTTAAGTGCACAAAAAAGTAAAAAAAATTAAATTTTGTTGTATACTCAATGCAATGTTCAAGATGTACCAACAAGTTGTTTAAACTACCAATTGTATTTTTTAGTCAAAATAAGTAATTCTTTAATGTTATTAGTTATTCTTTAGTTATTTACATAAAAACATAATTGCAAAATCTATAAAAATTTATTATTACTTAAATACATTAAACAAAGTTCAAAAAATAACTCCATAGAAAAACTCATCTAAACACCTGCATGTAAATTACTAGACAAAATTTTTTTAACTTGGAAATGTAACGAATATTTTTTAAATTTAGTTTACAAATACAAAAGAGTAGGGTTAACACATTTTGCCAAATAATATAAATAAAAGGTTTTTATTTTGAGTTTTTATACAAAAATCTGTTTGCTACTAATTCCACAGCCCAGAAAATAATTTAACATTATTGTTGGGTAAAGGCTTAAACACAATGGGACGGTGTTCGACGGCGTCAAACGCAACGCAATCGCGACGCAATGTTTTGAAATCGTGGCTGCATACAATTACGGCGTCGAACGCCGTTGAGTGACTTTTTATTATTTATTATTTTTTCATTTACACCATTCTTACTTGTGGAATTTAAAATTTCACCGCTTTCTTGATTTTAATATCATGTTTTTATATCCATTGCACCTTTTATCGTATATAATTTTGTTTTCTTTTACTAACCGAACATGGTGTGTGTCAAAACCATCTGTTGTATTCATATAGCGTATTAATTTTTTACAAACCACAGAACAGATGACAAATGCAAACTTTGCCGCCCTTTTTACAGAAAGTGTGGTTAGTTTCCCAGCGTTGACGCCGTAAAAGTAAAAAGTTGGCTAACTGTCAGCGTCGGATGGCGTTAAACGGCCTGCGGTTCATGTATTTGCATTGTTTCTTTGGTTTGACATTTGACGCCGTCGAACGCCATCCCATTGTGTTTCACCCTTAACGTTTTTAACTGATACCCATTATTGACCTGTTAATTTTAAAAATAATATCCATTTTTCCCAATTGACTCAAAATTTTAAGTGCATTTGTTTTATATTTTTTTATTTATAGTTTAGATCTAGCGCCTCAAATGATATTTTTTTATTTCTAATACAAAAAAAAATAATGCCATGTATGTTTTCCAATGTTAGTTATATATATATACAGTGCTTGCAATATCAAGTCCGACCGCACTGGAAAGGACGGCTGTTTAATACCCGCGTGAAAACAAGGATAGAACGCCAAATAGAATTTGATTGGCCAGAGCCGGCAGGCTACGACAACGCATACCCATCGGGCACCTCGCAGCGTGCTTGACACGAGGATATCAGAACGAGAACTGCAGTGGTGCCAGCAAGAGGTAGTAATTTTAGTAAAAAAGATTATTTAATTAAAAAATGTACACGTTGGAACAAAAAGTTCAGATTTTAATCTGGCATTTTGCTGGTAATTCTGAACGAGAAATTCAAAGATTTTTGTGGGGGTACCTCAAGCCGAAGCTGTACGTTTTCCAGGAAGATCGGGCTAATAACCTCAATGATTTAGGAATCCGCATAACTAATTTGTTGGGGGATATTAGTCCAGAAGTCCTAGCTAATGTGCGTGGGAATTTTTATAATAGGTTAGGCTATTGTTTGGCTGCCTATGGGGGCTTGTTCGAACATTAAATTTAATTTTTGAGTTTATTTATTTTTAGAGTTTTATTTTTATTTATAGTTATTTTTATTCAGAATTATTTTTTATTTGAGAAATCTTTTTTATTAAGAATACTATTTTTGTTGTTGCCCTAGTTCCCAAGGAAAAAATCAAAAAATTTTATTTTTAGGATTCGGGTATAAAATATTTAAAAAGGAAATTAAAATGTGCATCTACACTCTAACGCAGTTTGCTTAACACTAAATCATTTAGTCTAAATCCAGCCAGACTGGCTGCCAGAGTTGACCTCGCTTACAATTCGCACGCATCCGGCTCTGGCCAATCAAATTCTATTTGGCGTTTTATCCTTGTTCTTTTCACGCGGGTATTGAACAGCCGTCCTTTCCAGCGCGGTCGGACTTGATATTGCAAGCACTGTATATATATATATATATATATATATATGTGTGTATTACTGACAAAAACAACATTTAATAAAAAATAAATGAAAAATATGAATACATATCAGAATATATTGCTAAATTAAATTTAAGTTTATGTTTATTTGGTTTATTTATGCATAAATATTAAAAAATATTAAAAACATCTCTAATTAATGTACACATTTTTAAACGTATAGTTTTTTTAATTATAAAATTAAAATAGGTATTTATGTCATTAGGCTAAGAATTTAGTCTTTTTGTGCTAAGCTCGAAGTCATAATTTAATTTGTTAAACAATACATAAAACATAATAATCATTATTGATAGTAAAAATGAGATTAGATAGATCTGACAGTTGTCGATTTGTTTTTATTGTTTCAAACGGGTTTTTATAGGCTAGGAGGTAATAAACTTTACCCAATTGACCTAAATTATTGTTTTGCTAGGCACATTGGTAGTTAGTGTAGACAATAATAAAGTTTAAATTATAAAACGATGGATGATAAAATATATAAATTATTTTTGATATGTTTGTTATTCTATTAAGGTTAATGGAAGTATTAAGTGTTTTTAGGATTATCCATGAAGTTTAAAGTCACAATACCAGTTTTATTAATGTTAATGAACATTTACTCAAAGAGAATTTGAGTCAATTGGATAAAAATAGTGTTAATTTTGCAATCAACGGGGCCGACGTTAAAAATGATTACACTGGCCGACAGCCATTTTGGTGCAGTGTAGACAACTTTTTTAGTGTAATTTGAGTACGCCGAATCAAAAAATCAATAAAATCAACCAAGCGAGTCAAAATTGGGTTAATTTTATTGCCATGTTGTCAATTTTTATTTGATTGCATTGAAAGTTTAACACAATAAAGTAGATAAATAGAGCTACGAAGAGGGTAATTTTTTTCACACATTTTAAAATTAACCGAATTTTGGCTAAAAAATCGATTTTCTTTCGATGAAAGCAGGATTTTTATATATATATATATGGTCTTTTTTTAGTTTAACAAAGACCCATAGCAACATTACCAACTATCCTTGCTTAAATTAGAAGTTTAAAAAAATATATTTAAGAATTTGAATGTGCGCATATAAAAAAAAACAAGAGCTGATTGAGCAAAATGATGTTCATTTTTGGATTCAGCGTACCTAAATTACCCTTAAAAAGTTGTTGGTTGCCATGCACCAAACAGAAATTTTATTTTTGTCGGCCTGTGTTATAGGTATTATAACTTAAGGTATATTAAGAAGCATTTAATGTAATGTGCCATTTATACAACATTTAGTGGTTTGTAAGCATGAGCAATGCAGTTGTATTGGTGTTTTATTAACCGATGTTGGCGACGACACCAATTCTATTAATTCTTGATCATTTATTATAACCATTAAAAAAAGAATAACCTTTAAAACATTTTGGTATTCGGAGAGAAATTTTGTTGTTAAGGTTGGTACTCCCGGGCCGGGAGTCCCGGCGCAGGAGCAGATTTATTTGCATTTAATAAAATTTAAGAAGAAAAAAGTTAAACAACTGTCCATTACGTAACTTGGCATTAAATGCTGGGTAAACGCTTCTAAGCTAAATTACGTTACATTAAATTACATTAAATGCTGGCTAAATCCACCTTTATAGTCATAATTAATTTACTACATGCATAAATTTGATATTGCATATGTATAGGGTAGACTTACATATGCTCTGGATGATTTCTAATACAGTCAATGAAATCCTTTGGCCCTAGTTGACCTGTGCAAATTTTATGAATGGCCGTGAAAAGTGGGAATCTAAAAATAATATTAAATTAATATTAAATATACGTATAATCTGGTATAATCAAATAAATATGCCATTTAAAGGGTGTTTGATTAAAAGCAACATAACTAAATTAATATTAACAAACCAAAAAAATGGTACAAAATGGCGTTATTCATATTGACAAACGCTTTAATATTATTCCTCAAAATATTCAGAGAATTTGAAATAAAAACTAACTTTTCTTCCATGTTTTTGTTTTTCAGCATATAGTTGACTTCTTCTGCTGTAAAAGGTCCTTGAAGTTTTTGTCCGTTTAACATTTCATCTTCCAATTCTTTAATAGATTTTCCAGTTTTAACAAAAGCCTCGCTCACTTTTCTGTTACGTCCACCATAACAAGTGGTTATAAGATCGGCAACGCCGCAACTTTCAAAAAAGCTGGACAATTTGCCGCCTGGATAGAAAACGTCGACGAATTTAACCATCTCCATCAGCCCCAATCTGATGACGGCCGCTTTTGTATTGTCACCAAGACTCAAACCATCCACAAAACCAGCTCCACATGCTACAATGTTCTGTAATTATAACATATTAATCATTTTAATGAAAATACCAAATACACAAAGCAATATACATTTTTTAAGTGTAATTTTTTTAATGAAACTTCTTTGCGGATGGGGTTAACCAAAACATACGGCGGAACGAAAGCAGTGCTTTCAAAGCACAGAACAAACGAAAGATGAAACAGAAACGGCGCGCGCATATGCCTGCGTCGTATTAGAATATTTAAACAAATTTTGCACAGTAGTAACTACCTGTGCACATTAGGGCCATTTTAAGCTCGCAGACGGCACAAATCACAAACTGTTTTTGTCAAAAATATTCTTATCTTACAAGGCTATACTAATTTTGGGTATTTGTTCGTGTTGTGATAATATACTTGTCAATATGAATTAAGGCAGTGAAGAAAGTTTAATCAAATAACAGACTCCGACCAATCCAAAGTTATTTTGAGAATCAAGATTGAAGGAGATATAGATATTACTGCAAAAAAATTGGATTAAAACTTTTTTAAACTAAAGGGTGGGCCATCTATAAGTTGAATTTTAAACAACGTGCTATTAATGAAGCTTTCAACTTAAGCGCCATGAATTGCTAACAGTGGTTTAGTTTCAACCTTCCGATTACAAAATATGCACAGAATAAATTTGGATCAACGTTTGGAAATACTCAAAACTTACTTTGAATGTGACTGTGATCGCAGAGACGGCAAGAAAATTGCGTTTGGAAGAAATGAGACGCCGTCAAACCAAAGTTTTACAAATTTGTTAAAAAAATTGCGCAGAAATGAAATGCTGGTGGACTTAAAACATGTTTCGCATGCTCGTCCTAGACGTACACCTGAAGCAATCGCTGCTGTGGCCGAAAATGTTCGCATGAACGCGTCAACATCAACTCGGCGCAGATGTCAACAACTCGGCCTTTCCCGTACCACTCTGAGGATGATTCTGCACAAAGACCTCGGTGTGTTTGCGTACAAAGTCCAGCTTGTTCAGGAGTTAAAGCAAGTTGACCGTCCACAACGTTTTCGCTTTGCTGAGTGGGCTTTAAACCAGTTGAACGATGCAAGAAAAATCATCTTTTCGGATAAGGGCCATTCTCCAGAATAGGGACAATTCTTGAAACTCAGCTTTATCTTTTCAAAAGCCAAAATTATTTAATTTTTTCGTAATCAAAGTTTATTAACTGAGTCAATTACTTAAGCCCAACGACAAAAAAGCACAAGTATTTAAATTGCATGGCATTTATTTTGATGTTTTTTATAAATCATCATACTCCGAAGCTGTAACCGCCTTAAAATTACATTCTATTTTTGGGTCTATGATGTTAAAAATACATTTTAACTAAACAATTAATGCATATACTTTCCAAATGACTTTTAGAAAATACAACAAGATCCCCTTGTATTCAAAAATCATTTTGATTAATCAGTTTTTAATAGTTCTAACGCTGTATCCAATTAAATTCGTCATCTCCGAGGTGCAACTTTTATTTGCAAATTATAATAATAGAGGGCGTGTGGTATTCTACAATGTTTGATGAATCTTCTAGAACAGCTGTCATTAAAGCACTTGCAAACAAAGTGAAGTGAATTTCGTGTGATTTTACTGAAAAAATTGTCTTATTACTTGGTAATCAGGTAAGTACATTTATTAACATCAACTCCGAATATGTGTCGCATTTTGAGACTATTGAACTTAGGTATTTTTGGCATTAGTAGCGTGTAAATTTCGTTCTTTTTGTTTCATTAAACATTTTATTAAATTTATAGGTTAAGAAAATATAGCTTAAATACGCAATAAAGGCAAAATCATCAACTCCGACGCCGTCAACTCCGAAGCTGTTTTTGGCCTCGGAGTTTACCAAGTTCTTCGGAGTTGATTATGATTCTCCCCACTTGTTAGATTTAGGTGAAATTATATATAAATAGAGTGAAATACAATTACATATACCGTACCTTCATTTGCAAGCTAACCATAGGGAAAATACATTGTAACTGGACCAGATAAGTCTTAGTCAGCACGAAGCGAGAACCTTCTCAGAAATGATTTGGATGCGTCGTCGAGAGACAGATTTACACCGCACAAAACAATAATAAAGCATCGATGTATGAAGCAAGGTCAACTGTTACGGCGCATGCTAGCTTACTCGTCCACGCGTCCAAATCATTTCTACAACGTTTTTCGCTTCGTGCTGACTAAGATTTATCTGGTCCAGTTACAATGTATTTTCCCTATGGTTAGCTTGCAAATGAAGGTACGGTTTAAGGTTTAATATATATATATATTAAATAACTTTCAGAATGGGAAAATCTAAGAAGAGTGACGATGATTTAAGGAAAAGGAAAACAGAGCAGCAGAGAAAGAGGCGGGAACTTGCTAAAAAAAATCCTGAAAAATATGAAAAAGAAAAAGAGAAAGAGAGACAAAGGTACCATAAGCGTAAAACAGAAGGTAAAATAAAAGGCATTGAAGAACTCACACCAAGACAGCAGCGAATCAAACGAAAAACCTGGAAAGAATGTTCTTATCAGTACAGGCAGAAAAATAAGAAAAAGAAACAGGCAATAATTCAGTTCATTCATGAAACAACCCCACCAGCCACACCTGAACCATATCATGGACAGCCCCAACAAGAACCGAAACCAGGACCAAGTAGAGCATCAATGCGAGGGCGAAAGAAGGTCAGAAGAGACAGGGCAAAAGCCTATAGAGAATTGAAAAAGCTGAAGAATGAACTGTCAAAAACTCAAAGAAGGCTAAATAAATATAAAACAAAATACTTCAGACTAAAGCAAGATGTTAAAAAAGATAGTCCAAACACAAAAGTTAATAAACTCATAAAAGGAGTTTCAGTACCATTAGAAGTAAAAAAGAAACTTTTGTTTAATGAAGTGCTAATTTCACAGATCTCAGAAAATTACAAAGAAGTTAAAGATAAGTCAAATAGGCAAAAATTTCGTGAAGTATTGTTAGGAAAAGATGTAAGAAAATATAGATGCTTAGGCCAGCTGAGTTTTATGACTTATAAGGTTAAGAGGTCTCGAAATGCAGACAAAGCAAAGGGCATCAAAAAAATTAAACTCATAAAAGGAGATATAAGATCTTTTATAGAAAAAGATGAATATAGTAGACTTTGCCCTGGGAAAAAGGATACAATTACGAGAAATGGGGTAAAAAAACAAAAAAGATTACTTAACAAATCGCTACTAATGATATATAACGAATTTCGTCAAAGTGTTAATTATTTCATTAGCTATTCCACGTTTTGTAAACTTTGACCTTTTTGGGTATTACATCCTAATATCAACCGAAGAGATACATGCCTATGTACGGTTTGTGAAAATGGAGAGCTACTTGTACGCAAATTAAAGCTTTTAAGTATTATCGAAGAAAACTGCCTAGAAAGGGTTTGCAAGTATGTATGCTGTAACAATGAAACTAAAGAAAACTGTTTAAATAATAGGTGTACATTTTGTTTTGAAAAAAAGTTACATTTTAATCCATATCAAGCTGGTGATCTCACATTCTATGAAAAATGGATTACAAAGACTGTAGAAATCAACATTAAGGGAGAAATTAAAAATGTGAAGAAGACGATCAAAGAAAAAATACATTGCACAAAAGGTCAAATGATTGAAGTCTTTGAAATAATGTTACCAAAGCTATTAAAACATATTTATAACAGAAATAACCAGTATAAAGAAATTGATAAAATGAAAGTCAATCTAAAGGAAGGTGAAGTAGTTGTACACATGGATTTCTCGGGAAAATTTTGCCTGTAAGTATTCTGCTGAAATCCAGTCGATGCACTTTGGTGGATCGCGTCAACAGGTGAGCCTTCATACTGTAGTAGTATACTATAAAAGTAAGGGTAATTTAAAGAAAGAATCTATATGTACCATGTCAGATTCTTTGCGACATGACCCTGCAGCGATTTTGGTACATCTCAAAGCAGTATTTAAATTAATATCAGAAAAATTACCTAGATTGTCTACTATACATTTCATTAGCGACGGCCCAAGTACGCAGTACAGAAACTGTAAAATGTTTCAAATCATTGGATCTCTAATAAAAAGCTACCTTCTTGGTACCTTAAACAGCATTATTTGGAATTACACTGAAAGGGGACATGGTAAGGGAGCTCCTGATGGAGTAGGGGGATGTGTTAAAAGGACCGCTGACTCGTTAATAGCAATGGGTCACGATATTGAAAATTTTACTAAACTGGTCGACATGGTGTCTGAAAATATGAAAAAGATTAAAATTGTGTCAGTTCCTCAGCAAGAAATTGAAAGTCTTAAACTAAACATGACCAATATAAAACCTTTTAAAGGGACTTTACAGGTGCATCAAGTAATCTGGATGAGAAACAAGCCTGGTTTACTAAAAATTCGTCGTTTAAGCTGCTACAATTGCCCCCTTGATTCAAACTGTCCTGATTATCACCTAGGAGATTACTATTTAAAAGAAAATCTCACTAAAGAAGCTGACCTACATAGTACTATTCCTGAACCTTCAACTTGTATCCTTTTACCATATATTTTATGTTATTTAATAACTGTGTAATTATTCTACATTTATCGTTATTCATTTATTTTATACATTTTTACTTTTAGATTATTTTATTTTACTTATTAATTGTTTTGTTTTCCTTAATAAGTGAATTCAGTGCATAATCGGAATTTACGTTATTCAGATATCTACAGTGACAGTGAAGATCAACAATCGGAACATATTGATCATAGCCCAAATGAAAGGGACAAGTTTGGTATCAACCAGTTTTTACTTGCGAAGTTACCTGAAAAAAAAAGGTTTAAGTATTATGTTGGTGTGGTGCTGAGCATCGAAACTAAAGACTCTGAAACTGACATGGACATTTTTACTGTGAAGTTCTTAAGACGAAAAGACCACACATTTACTTTTGTATATCCTGAAAAAGAAGATATCTCTGAAGTGTATATGTCTGAGATAGAACATTGTCTACCTTTCCCAGAAATTGATAACCGCAATCACTATGTTTTTCATTTTAGTTTTGAGCCTTACTCAAAAGACTTATATTAATTATTATTGAAGTAGATATTAAAATAGATATAAGGGAAATATTTTTGTTACAAACCTACCAAATATAGTCTTTTACTAATGTTTATTTGCATTATTTCAGCAATATTTATAACAAAATCAACTCCGAGGTCAACTACATCAACTCCGAATCCCAACTAATTTTAAATTCATCATATTTTCAATATTATCAAGTATTTGTCTTTGTCATAAAATATACTATTTTTAGTAAACCCTGATAAGAATAACTGCATTAAAAAAAATGCGAATATTTTCACATTAATTTTTTAATAATGCGATACCAAATTGTCCCTAATTTGGAGAATGACCCATAAGGCGCATTTTTACCTCGGAGGTTGTTTGTCAACAAGCAAAACTGTAGGATTTGGGCCACGGAAAATCCACACGTCGCCGTAACAAAGCCTATTCACCATTTAAAACAAAACATTCAAGCTCAAATTGCCTAAATAGAGCAGCAAACTTTTGACAAAGTGCTCGAAAATTGGTGTTCCAGGATGGGCTACTGCCGAGCCAGCTGAGGTGGCCACTTAAATAAAATCATTTTCCATACTTAATCGGAAGAATCATTGTATCAAATAAAGCAAAATTCGTTGAAAAAAAATCAGTTTTTCTTGTTCTTATTGCTACTTTATAATTCAACATAAACATGGCCCACCCTTTACTTCGACCGAATCCTAAAAAGCATCTACTCCAGTATCAAAAAGATTGGGTTTGTCAGCACAATTTCAAAGATAAGCAAAAAAAAACAAGCAGCGTCAGGAATAGAAAGAAAAACTGCGGCGCCAAAATTTTTATTAAGAATCAAAACAAATTTTCAAGATATAGGATCCCTTACTTAAGAAGGGACTAAACGCCATTGTAAGTACGTGTGATTTTCTATAGGATTTTTATGAAATTTATTATGTATTTTGATATATTTATGCTGCAAATTCAAAAAGAATTAAGCTTAATTTTCATGTATCCGTTTGTCCGTTTTTCAATAAAATGGTCAGACAAGAAATGTTCTAATTTTCATGCATCAGTTTTTTTAAAGACGTTTAACGAATTGATTTGGCGACAAATAGAAATTAAGGGCCAGTATATTCACTTCCCTAAATTTACCTAATGCTTAATTGGCATGGTTACAATTATGTCAACAATTGTATATGTCTAAATTTAAAGGTAGGTAAATATACTATATAAAAAGAATATACCAGCCTTAATATACATTAAAATGTCCTTTTAGTCTTGGTTTCATTACTTTTTTGTTTGTATTTTCTTTTTTTCCGGTCTTCTTATTAAATAAAGACATAACAATAATGTTTATTCACATAACAAATTTCATTACTCCGTTTTACAATCATAATTTTAAAAATATTAAAAGATTTGAAAATAAATTATCTTAAAATGACCTTAGGCGTCAAAAACATATCTGTAGTGACGGATGAGTTAAAATTATTTTAACTTTCTCCGTCAGACGTACGAAGTTAAAACTTGACGGACCGATGAAATGTCATAATTTTCGAATTATAATTGGACCAAAAAGAGCGCTCCCGGATGATCGGACTAACGGACAAACAAATACATGAAAATTAAGCTTTACGCTTCAAATTTACATCAAGAAGTTTGCAAATAAATGTACCGAATTAACTGGTACTAAAATAAACGATTTCAAATATACTGTTAATTTAGCGTTGGACCAATATTTCGTATACCCTGTAAAGTTTACAGTGTAAACATTGAGACAGCGCAATGTGCATTATATGCACATAATTTGATTTTTTATGATCGCGTTGAGTAGGCGACATTAGCTTTGGGTAATGGAGTCGAAAATTCTTTTTTTAGGGGAATGGAGGAAAATATTGATTTAGCAAATCATGATGAAACCAACCAAAAAGAATTCAGCGATTCAATGAACACAAATAATATAGTTCATCCTTCATCAAATGAAATGTTAGAAAATAGCTTAAATTATAAAGAGTTATCTGCAGAATACCAGATGAAACTGTCAAAATTAAAATTAAACCTAAACAACTTTTATAATTTTGAGGAAAGAAATCAATTAAAATTTATATCAACTCATCTACCCTCAAAAATAAAATAAAAAATATAGAAAATATGGAGTCATTTTCAAATATAAATGTTAGGTCAAACTCGCACAGTAGTTCATAATTAAAAAATTGTAGGTAAAATCCGGACAGTTTTTATAATTAAAAAACTGTGGGTAATTGTCACATTTGTATAAATAGGACAAATTTTCAAAATATAAAAACTTCTAATATTTTTAAATTGTTTAAAATTTTCAAAACAACATTTTCATATTTCTTATAACACGAGTTTGTACTCTAGAATCAAATCATTTGAATCAAATGTCTTAATTTCTAATGTAGTTCTTGTTAAATTATGTGTGAAAATGATAAAATTGTTAGCACTAAAAATGTTTAATTTCTTAAGGAAACCTAAATATAATATACATGATTATTGACCAAGCAGAGTTCTTTTATTAACTAGTGAAACCCCTACAACTTTATGTTTGGACAATTTATAATTATTTAAACTATTCACTGTAGAAACTTTTGGGAATAAGTTCGAATTCCCCCTTAAAAATCAAGTTAATCCTCTCCCAGATAGCACTATTCGTCCAATGGACGTCCGTTTAAGATCCATTTTAAGTACATTGGTCCACGGACTAAAAATGGATGTACTATGTACGTCCATATATTTACATCCTTTGTACGATTTTAATGGACGTCCATATAGTGTCCATTTTACGTCCATAATTATTATTACAGAAATGCAAGTTAAGACGTATTGTTGGCTGCATAACAACAGTTATGATCAATCTCACTGACATTCAAGCAAGCGCGTGCTATAAAGGACTTAAGCTATCAATGAAATGTTAAACACTTGTAGTATTGCAAATGTAATGTTCCTGAGTCGAATACAAGGATTTCCTGCAATGTTCAACATTGAATGTTGTAACTTTTAACAACTTTTAGAATATTTATATTCCTAGTGGGATTGTTACTGAGCCAGACAAAAGGCATTTCAGTCATGTTGTAGAAAATTTTCTGCAACATCGCAATGAAAATATAGTCGCAAAAAACAGTTAAAGTAAGCAAAAAAGCAGGTCCTGGATGCTGGAGGAATGGTTCAAACACCTTATAGACGTCCATCGGTGGACGACTTATGGATGTCCAAAGTTGTGACATCTGGACTCTAAACGGATGTCCATGGGACGTCCATAGAAAAAAAATGGACATCCTATGTACATACAGACGTCCACGAGCATACGTCCATTGGACGTCCATAGTATACCTTTGTGCTATCTGGGCTGTGGAGCGTGGGCCCTCAAATTTGTGTTTCTTGGCTGAATTTATATTAAATATCACTTACTTACCTTTAAAGCACCACATACTTCTACTGTATCTTCATCATCAACGACAACAACTCTGAAATAATCAGTTTGAATGATGTCCCTGAGAACGTATCCTAATTTTAAATCCTTGCAGCCAATTGTGGTTTCACAGAATTTTTCGTCGGCTACTTCTCCTGCAAGATTGGCGCCCATTAAAACAGCGCATGGAATTTTCAAATGACGGGTTATTATGTGAGAAATAAGGTCTATTCCACCTCCTTCAGCCCTGTCAAATCCCTTAGAAAAAAATATAAATACATTGTCGTGGCGATTCCAATTTTTTAAATATTGTATATTAAATATTGATTTAAAATTTTGAACAAAAAATATTTAAAAAAATGCATCAAATGTTTTGTTTTTAAAATATTACATTTCTTTAAAAATGTTTTTACCCATTACCCTATACTTACTTTAATCAATGACAATGCCACGGCTGTAGGTTTTATTTTTCCCAAAAGGGTTGAGCATAATGTCCTAATAAATTGATGTGGCACCACAAAAATAAGTATGTCTGCCTCTTTGGCTGCGTCTTCCACATTTGGTACTGCTACCTAAATAATGATAAAATCGAAATGTATTTAATATTTTATATAAAATTTGAGTTAAAATAATAATACTTTTAAAATTGCTGTTATACTTTTATATTATAGATAAAGCCTTAAAGTGCTTGTTGATTCTAGTTTGTCTTACATTTTACCTATGTATCTTTATACCTACAAGGAAAAAATTGCTTTAGGAAATTTAATTCGAACCTTAATTTTGACCAGTTTATGAACTAAATATTGGATTTAACAAACTCACTTTATACTTTTAATAATTGTTATTATAACAATTATTGTAAGTACGTTTAATGTATAGTTTAACAAATAAAACTGTAATAGTTATTTATGTCATAAGGCTAAGAAGTAAGTCTTTTTTTGCTGAGCTCAAAGTTTGACGCGTTATCGCAGGCCTACAGTCGAGAGAAAATAATTTATCTTAAAGGGTTCTATAATTTAGGCATTATTGCTTTGCTCAAGTGTAGGCCTTCGCTATCGCGTCGGACTTCAAACTTTGAGCTCACCACAAAGAGGCACGCTTTTCAGCCTTATGACATAAGTAACTATCAAATTTATAGAAGGTGGGTATATCCGAGAAACCTAAAATTTAAAAATGTATATACGAATAATCATATGTAAAACTTGTTATAGAATAATAAGCTTTAATGCAAAAATCGAGTTTTGTATTAAGCATACTCATATGTCTAATATTACTTTGCAACTTGGTCATAAACAGGGTATTGAATTAAATTAAACAGTGGGTCTAAAATGTGGCACTAACTACCATGCGATAGGTATATTTTAAGCATAAAAAATACATTCTTTTATTTTTTTCCTAACCCGACTCATGAAACATAAAATCGGTTGCATTTAAAGAGCTAAAATTAACATGGATCATCCATTTTTTATTTAGAAAAATTACTTTGTAACTTGGTCATAAACAGGGTATTGAATTAAATTAAACAGTGTGTCTGACCATGCGATAGGTATATTTTAAGTATAAAAAATTACATTCTTTTATTTATTTCCTAACCCGACTCATGAAACATAAAAACGATTGCATCTACAGAGCTAAAATTAACATGGATCATCCATTTTTTATTTAGAAAAATGTATCTTAATGTGCCCTAATGGGCCACTGCAGATAAATAAATTATAAATATTTAAAATAATATAAGTATTTGTGCATATAAATAATGTGCACATGCATGTACAGTAGAAACCACGAATATATGAACGTGACTCATCCGGCACATTCGTACGAAGCAATCTATCGAAGGTCACGGTCCAGTGCAGTGCTGTTCTAACGGGGGCATAAGTATTTGTATTTGCTTTTAGAGTTAAATTTTAATAATTAACATCTACGATAATTAAATAAAATGTAATTTTCTTAGAAACTAATTAATAAATAAACTTTTCTTTTAACTTTAATGAAATATTCTATCATCTGATGACAGAATGTACACTCGTGGCGACATCTCTGTTTTTAATATCTAACAAATTTTAGACCGATCCAACCTCACTTTCTTCCAATTAAATTCTTTGTCTATGGTATTTTTTGGAAACGTAGAAAAAGTATAGTCTGAAACACGTTTGGAATTGCATATTCCCCTCTCGTGAAACCGTCAAACTCGCCTTCGGCTCGTGTGACAAACTTTTCACTCGAGCGGAATATGCCGTATTCCAAACTTGTTACAGAATATACTATTCTTTTAACTGTAAATGCAAATATTTCAGAATTGGTGACAAAAAACAAAAATGTTTACGCAGGTCAGGTACAAAGTGAAAGATATTTAAATTGTGTGGATATAAAAACAACTTGCGTTAGTTTCACGAAATTTATTAAATATTGACAATTGTTTCGCTACACAGTAGCTTCTTCAGAATGTATTAAACTAATACTAGTACAAAATTTATATAATAAAAATATTTTTGTATTCTAGCCTACAATTTCTAGGTAAGGATTTTTATACGACATCTATCTGTGTTACATAATATAAACCACTGCCACTACAACGTTTAAAACGATTATTAATCCGTAAACACACACCGTTTATTTAAAGTCCAAAAGACGTACAATAACAATTGCAATAAAGTCCAATAAACATGCAATAACAATTGCAATAAAAACCACTAGCACTACAACGTTTAAAACGATTATTAATCCGTAAACACACAGCAGAAACACGATATGCAAAAACAAAGATCATATGACATAAAAACAAATGGCCGACGGTAAAGTTGGTTGCCTTACTATGTAATAAAATAAAATAAATTGCCTAAAACACGAACTCTACTGAATTCCAAAAAAAATAAGTAACAAGCTAGGACACGCGTCATATGTCCATCTTTGTCCAACACCTAGGCAGTTTTACATCACAGATGGCGCATTTTTAGACCGGATGCTTAAAAATCTACGTGTGAGTACATTTACCGCTGCATCGAATAGAGGTGGGAAGTTTAGTTCACTTTCCTGATTTCGATCTTTCGATCTCGTTCATTAAGGGGGGGGGGTAAGGTCAAATCATACGAAAAAAGCCATGTTTTCGTGATTTTTTTTCTGACGACGCAGTTAAAATTTCTTTACTCAACCAATGGTACATTGAAGTATGACATTCGAAGAATGTTTCATCAAATTTGTACAAAGAAATATTAAAAAATAGGGCAATGGCAGCAATTGTTCGGACGTGTCTCGAAAAAAAGTTGAATTGCGGTGCCCCTCATAACTTGGTGCTGGATCATCTGAAATCAAAAAATCAAAGTTCATTCGTTAGATAATAGTTTTCCCCAGGTAACGCTGTCGAGTTTTTTCTTTTTTTCCAATTTTTTTCATTTTTTCGAACACTTTGAAGTGAAAAACACAATTCTGTGGGAAAAAATCGGCTAATTTGTTATTGCGAAATCAAAATTATGAACAAAAAACAAAAAAACTCGACAGCGTTACCTGGGGAAAACTATTATCTAACGAATGAACTTTGATTTTTTGATTTCAGATGATCCAGCACCAAGTTATGAGGGGCACCGCAATTCAACTTTTTTTCGAGACACGTCCGAACAATTATTGCTGCCATTGCCGTATTTTTTAATATTTCTTTGTACAAATTTGATGAAACATTCTTCGAATGTCATACTTCAATGTACCATTGGTTGAGTAAAGAAATTTTAACTGCGTCCTCAGAAAAAAAAAATCACGAAAACATGGCTTTTTTCGTATGATTTGACCTTACAAAAGACTAGTTCGTTTAGTTCACTGATTTATAATCGGATTTGTCGGATTTACGTAGTTTCGTTCGCGAACTACACTTCTCTAGTAGTTCAAGTGAACTATATTGAGATTGATTAATTGATTTGCACCAAAGAAGTGTTCTTGGAATTGCACTTGCTGCTGGTAAAAATGGTACGCTGTTGCCAAGACCATTAAGTGGTTGATTTGATTTTAGGGACAATTACGAATTTGCGTGAAAAAAAATCCATTAGTAAATACGGATATAATGAAATATATTTACGGATATTTAGTTTAGTTCGTATTGATTCGCTCTTTTTAGTTTTGGTGATATTTACGGATATTTAGTTTAGTTCGTATTGATTCGCTCTTTTTAGTTTTGGTGATTGAATCTTTTAGTTCAGTTACGAAATTCGATCTTTTGAACTAGTTCGTTCGCGAACTACACACCTCTAGCATCGAATGTACAAGACAAGTAAAACATTACTGCTAGCATGTCTGAGATATGTTCGGCACCCGATGAGTCACGTTCATATATTGGTGGTTTCTACTTTTTATAAAATACTATTGTTTTTACAAATAAAAATAAATTAATTTAGTCTCTAGGATGGATTATAAATTCTTTAATGACTTTTTAAATACTTTGGTTTTATACTACTTTATTTTTCTGGTAACAAATTGTATTTCCTTATTCCGTCATGCATCAGCTGTTTTTTACTAGTTATTGTTTTTACTATATCTTCTGATTTTTTTCTTTGTTTTTAGTTTTGTAATTGTGGATTCACCCAGACAGCACATATATCCATTGGACGTCCAGCGGACGACCATTGTACATCCAAGCGTCCAATGTAAGTCCATTTGACGTCCAATGGACATCTTGTGCACCTGTTTTGTTAGGCTTATATCGCTGTCTAATATTTCCCTAGTTTAATTAATGTATTATTTTAAGTGTGTAATTGTAATTTATTGATATTTAAATGTTTTTTTATATATTTCTTTTCTAGCCGTTTCTTGTTTGTTATTATATATACTTTAATTTCCTTATTTTGGACTGTTTGTAATTTATTTATTTCTCTTTTGTTTGTTATTTCCCAAAATGGTATCATGTAGGCAGAGCTGGGCACGAGTACTAAAAAAAGTATTCGTAAAATTTTAAGTACAAGTACTTCAAATATTTACTCGTAAGTACCTACTTTACTCGTAAGTACATTTGTAAAGAGAGGTTATGGTTACGAGTAGTAATCATGAAAACACGAGTAAAGAATACGAGTACTTAAAAAAAAATGTTAGTTAATATAATTGATTATTCTTTATACATTATACCTTAGACTGGGCCAAAAAAATGGACTATTTTTTTTTTTGAAAAATATATCGAGAATGTCGTTCAGAATGACAAATGAAAAATTTCGTGAAAATTTGAGCCCTTAATATTAATTTTAAGAGGTCTATCATCGCTATTTTTGATTTTTAGTCATAATTTGATGTTTTACGTTAGAACTGTCAAAACAGTAAACTGAAAAAAATTCCTTGTCACTTATTTTTATATAAAATTAAATTCTCTACAAAAAAGGTCTGATTGAAAATTTTCGTCAGACGAGCCGTTTCCGAGTAATTGAGCCTAATAAATCGATGTGTTTTTTCGATTTGCCCTTTTTACTTTGAAATTTTGTAACTAATGAATAAATGAATATTTAAAAAAGCTCAAGTCGGATTCTTAAAGGAAATTTAATGTTCTACAAAAAAGGTCTCTTAACATATTTGCCTAAATTTGATTCTTCAAAAGTTATTC